TGATTTTTTAGCCTATTCAGCTGACAGATTGATGCGGTGCGCCACATGAGATGATGCAATTTTAGGAAGGAGTTTAAATACCTTTAACCCCGTGACCTCCCCCCAAAACCTGCCGGTCGTGCTGGAAAGAATTTTGTCTTTTATAAATAAATTGCCGGGGCGCCGCGATAGCTCACTTGGTTGAGCTGGCGTCCCATGTACAGGGGCTGAAGCGAGTTCGAATCCGGCTCATGACACTTTGCTGCAGGTCCTTCTCACTTTCCTGTCCCCCTCTTCACTACACTTTCAAACAAAGGCACGAAAGGCCAAAAACATAACTTAAAAAAAATTTAAAAATTGCCAAAATGACACCATTTATTGCCAGAAACTGTAAAAACAGAACAAACCGTTGCATTTTGAACCTCCTTTAGCCACTCAGATGTGACTTATCATTCAGGACTTTTGGGGTCTTTTGGAGCCCGGGCCATTTGGTTCAGGTGACAGGTGTTGTTTTCTTAGTTTTTGAAGATTTCTTTTAACTGCATGTGGAACCAAAAATATGTCAACTTATCAGAAAATGTATCTCGTCATTGTCGGCCTCAGTCCGTCTCACGAGACGATAGGATGCACCGTGTTCAGTCACTCGCTCACTTCTTTGCGTTGCTAAACAAGCCGATGCGGAGGTGGCGGTCTTTTTGGCATGAAGAGCAGATGTGTACGGAGGCTTCTCGATCTTGTTGGAAAGACTTGTGTGTTTCCCTCTTTCACCTCAGATGGGCGCTGCAGGACATCTCTGCCTGTTTCGTACCACTCACAGAAGCAGCTTTCCAGGAATCTCTTGACTCAGCACTGGTCTATCAGGACTGGACGCTGGTCCCAGAGGTTTTCATGTCGCACTTGAGCCATGGCTGACCTCGAGGTCTTAGAGCCTTCTGACAGCTCACCGTACAGTAGATGTTTAGGTATTCTGCCGTCACCCATTTGGCGTACATGGCCCAGCCAGCGAAGACGACGTTGGCTTAGGAGCATGATGATGGATGGAAGTCCTGCGCGCTCGAGCAGTGTTTGGGATTTTATCTTGCCAACTGATGCCGAGGATGCATCTGAGGCAGCGAAGATGGAAGCTGTTGAGTCTGTTCTCCTGAGCAGAGTAGGTGGTCCACTGGAGTAGAGACGTGTACTCAGGACACAAGCTCTGTACACCTGTGGTTTATTTACCTTAGTATAAAAGTCTGTAATGAATACCAAAAGATATTTTGCACATATTCTTTCTTGGAGTCCAAAAGACCTTCTACGTATGGAAACATGAAAGTCCTGCACAGGGTTAAATGTTCCCAATTTTAAGCTAGCGAAAGCTTCAGATCATAACATTATGTGTCTCAATTAGAAATTCACTAGAAATAAACTATTGGATGCATGCGTGTGATCAATAGTCAGCTGTCAATTCAGGGACTTTTCGGCTGAACTGCAGGCTGTGTTTACTCAGCATGTAGGAGACAAGTATGGAAACAAGTTTTAAATCCAAGTAGTAAAATATTTGTGGTATGTAGAGTCATGTGTGACCAATACTTGGAAAAAATTGCTGTGCACACTTGAAAAATGTTGTACGAGTTTGTGAAATAGATAATCCACAAAACTCCACTTTAGTCTTTTCCTATTTTCTGATTTATGGCAATATAACTTTGCCACACAGCACAGAAGACATTTATAAGTTCTCTGTACTTCTAGTCAGGGTTGTGCTGTTGCCATAGAGGTGCAGGGTTTTGTATTGCAATGAAAAATCAGCGCACAGTGAGTAGAAATGCAACATGAGCAGAAGACGCCCAGAACTAGCTGAGGTTCAGAGGGTTAAACACCACCGGTACCAAACACACCTGACGCTACGCTGCTGTAGCATCAGGAGAATGTAGTAAACATCAGATTGGAACCAGAAATCCTTTACTACGTCTGTTAGATCCAGGTCTGACACCAGCCTCATGGTAAGTAGAGAAGAAAAGGCAGGAGCAAGAGCTTGTGGAACTGTTTGAAGTTTCTCAGCTTCGTTTATTGAATTTTAGATTTTTCTGGAGTAAGATAGCATCAAAAACTTTTCTCTTTCATGTGCATTTCTTCATGTAGCTCATATAATACGATATGGCACGTTAAGCGAAAAACAAAAACGTGGTAAACGCTCGAGTGCAAAGTCTTAAAAGCTGTAGTCATGAGAACGTTACTCCACTTTCAGCCCAGTTACGCTAAAGAGCGACACATCTTTTCAATACAATCCAGTTGGTGATGTCCCAATTAAATTAAACGAGTTTTACATTGGGGCCTGTCTTTTCATAATTTCCTACAAACGTTGACATCCCAGTGAGAGATTTTAAAGATCTGAGTTTATAGTGCAAGTCTGTAAAATGCCAACAGGTTTGATGTCAGTGTTTTCATTGTGTTCGTAGTGCAGACTGTGCATTCTTGAACAGCAGTTTTGAAGATCAGTTTTGCTCCGACTGTTGCCATCTTGACTCCAGGCTAATTGAAAAATGAACAAAAAGGTGGACGGAGTGTGAACGGAGCCGAGACGGGTCATGCAATTATGCAGAACTTTAACCCTTAATGTTAATGTTAATCTCACCTCTACAGTTATGGATGGGAGATACAGAGCTACAGAGACCAACACTATGTCTGCACCAGGCTGTAAACATGATTATTTCTGCAGTATAGTTGAGCATTTTAACATGGAGGTCTATGGAGGGTCGACCTCCTTCTGGAGCCTCAAGTGGCCATCTGAGGAAATGCACAGTTTGGCTTCATTTTTCAGCCACGTGGTTGCTGCTTTGTTAGATGCAGAACATTCCTGCTCTGGAAACTAATTACGATTAATTAGGCATTAACGGTTAATCTTTACAAAAGGTTAATCCTTATTAACTCCCAACCAGCTCACTGCAGCGAGATGCTTCCCTCAACGGTGTCGCCACCGTTCCTGCATGTTTGTGTTTTCATCTCTGTTCTGTTCAACTGATGCAAACTTGCACAATTGACTTTGCGTCTGTGCAGCTTGGACCTGTTTGCACGATCACAGTCCTCTTTTTTCTTGTCTCCTGTTAGTTCTCCACCTGAGGAGCCCCTAATTGTGCAGCATGCATGGAAAGTCTTGTTTTCACTGTTGAGTTTGATATAAAAGAAAATCAGCAAAAAATATTAAAAAATCATGGAAGCTGGAGACGAAATGCAACCTAAAAATCTGCCAGACTGAATGCAGTGGGGCAGCCAGTGGTCATGACGGTGAAACTGCAGCGTCATCTGTTTGGCCAGCGAGAAACCCGTCCATCAGTAGGTCCTTTACATTTGTATTGTCACTGTTTAATAAAGCCAAACAAAGAAAGTCATAAAAACGATCTTTTAAAAGACCTCTTAGTGAAAACTTGTCAGTAGTAAAAATGTGCCTGCACAATCTTTTCATCATTGCTTACAATTGGAAAAACCTTGTAATGTTTCCAGGCCATAAGTAGGATCCAGCGAAGGGGGGAGTGTGGTCTGCTCCTTCCTCCCCTTTGATTGGCTCTTGGATCGCTGCCAAAATACGTCTCTGGAAATTTGATCAGTGTGTTTATTCGCTGGCCTTTAAACAAATGGTCCGTTTTCTCCCCCAAATCACATGTCACAGTTTCACTATTAGTCTCACTGATGTCAGCAGAACCACGCGGCTGATTTTTCTTCGTCCGACTGTTTGTTTGTCCGGAGCAATGAAAACGCGAGAATGACAGACAGCTGGACAGGGCGCTCATCTGCTGAGCTGCAAACCACCGCCGATCCGACGGGGCAGACAAACACGGTGACCGGAGCGTGGCCCGGCCTCCCAAACCACATGTGAGCGGGCAGGAATGTATGGCCCGCTGCATTGTGGGTTTGCGTCTGGGGGGAAAGAGAGCAGACTCCCTGACTCACAGGACGCTGTTAGGTTGGGGGATGCGGAGGTGGAGGCCGTTTAGCTTTTGGGAATCAGCGTGGAGGGTCAGGAGGAGTGTGTGAATCATGGCTACGATGCTGTCGGCAACTGTGTCACTCGTGGCTCCCCGCCGCTTCGTCACCGTGTTTTTGCTTTCACTTTTAGCCTTAATGAAAAGCATGAGGCATCAACGAGGCTCCATCAACAGGCTCTGCTGTAAAACACAGACCGCACAGCTTTGTGCAGTTCAGGGAGGAGACACAACAAACTCCTAAGAATCACTTGCTTCGAAAATATAATCTGCGAGGCGCCCAGTGGGTCTCCATGAAGTGAAACACACTGGGGTGAGGAAACACTTCATGACTATCCTGACCTTATGTTCTCCTCATGAAAGTATTAAGACCTGATAAGGAACAGATGGATGCAAATATTGTGATAATTGGATAAACATTCCTATAATTTTTCAAGCAAAAAGGAAGAAATCTACTTATTTCTGCTGGTTTTGGACCACAGGTCAGTTACTGTCCACTGCTGTTGGTTAAACACTAACTAGTCCTGGTGAATATAAGCAGCTGTATGTCCTGTAGGAGTCGGTAGAGACCAAAACCTGAGCAAAAAGGGATTGAATATGGAAATATGCTCATCAGGTGTGGAGAACCATGACTCCATCTGTTGGTGTGTGTAATCTAGCTGGTGTAAAAAATGACCATATCAGCTTAAAAATGTCTAATTTCCCAGTGTTGTGTTTGCAGCTTGTTTCTGCTGCTACCAGGTGGCAGAAAATACATTTTATTTTAATTAATACGGGTTTTAAAACTACACCAAATACCAGGAATGTTATTTAACCAGATTTTTTATTTTCTTTTAAATTGCATATTTATTTATTATCATTTGATTTTTAATATTTGGACACAACACTGCCTTTACCGACCTTTCCTATCAGCAGATGTAATGAATGATCAATATACTGATGTGTGCAGTGCTGTGATAGAAACAACTGCTGTACGTTTCCTTTACCTTGTCTAATGATGCTCTTGTCTTGTCTTTCATCCCTGCATTTCCCTCCCCTCTGCTCCACCTTTCCTTCTCTTTGAAGTTCCAAAGAAGTTGCTCCACGAGCAGGGCTCCAGACCGCCGGCCTACCACCCGCCCCCCAGCGCCCATGACCCCAACATAGTGGGAGACAGCCCTCCTGAGGGGAGCTCAGTCAAAAGACCCGACAGTGTTCCAGGTGAGCAAAACGACCAACACCTAAGCTCTTATACATACAGACAGACGCTCACGACCCCCCACGGAGGGCAGTTAACGCTGAACAGCCTCAAGGCCTCCCAGGCGTCAAGAGAAACTCCGATTCGGTTCTCAAAGTCGGGGAGTATATGTATGTATATAGAAAGTCGCACAAGTCCAACCGTTTCCATGTGTGTCCGAGCAGAGCCATCGGTTCAGACCCTTCATGCTCACTGGTCTTTAAAATATACGGCCTTCCAAGAAGCAGCGATTGCGCTGTATGTAACCACAGTCTAAATCAGTTATAATGTCGAGCTCCCACAGAGAGAGAGTCTGAGCAGGAGGGGCGAGAACAATGAAATGAAGGAATGAAAAAGAAGAGACGCCAGCGAAGGAAGGAAACTCAAACAAAGCTGTATTCATGAGGGATGGTGGCCTGCATCCAGCACACTAATTACTCTGCTCAGCTACCGGCACTGCGCTGATTAGGAGGATAGACGAGTGAATGAGGAGTTAGGAGAGGGAGAGGACAGAAGATGTTTGCTGTAGCGCTGACAGCCTCCAACGCATGAGCGGCTTCGCTTCCTGGCGTCGGACGCTCCGTCTGCAGCTCATCTGGAAGAACCTGTTCCCAGCTCCTGTCTGTGTCACAGCGGATAAAACATGCAAAGAGCAGGAACACGGAAGCAGAACAAGATGCGTGTTCGTCTCACTTCGTTTTCTCTCTGCTCAGCTTCAGCAGAAAGAAGTGATGGCGTGTGGAAACGTATCTGATCTTTCTGCTTGACCACATTTTCATCACCAAGAGGCAGCGAGGCAGCGAGCGGAGGCTCCGGGCAGCCGCTGGTGTCCTGCTGAGAAATATTCCAGAAGTCAGCGCCCCGTAAAATCACAACTTGTCATTTTTGCAGGTTTTTCTTTCTGAGAAAAGGCCGACAGTGTTGATAAATGAACTAATACGAGTGTTGGGAAGCAGGTTTGGTTACCTTGCCTACATACAGAGTCCCTGTTACGCTCTGTTTTCTATTTATCGTTCTAGTAGGGAGCTTCAACATTTTTTCATCCAACACTAAAGACTCAAAGATGTGCGTCGTCCCAAAACAACCTTTCTTTGTGTAATTTACACATCTCATCTGTGATCTCATTGGTGGCGAGTATAGACGCAGCGCCCCCTTCAGGAGACAACAAAAGTGAACGTTTTGAGTGTCTTCTCTATCCCAAACGTTCATTCAGTAAAACTTGTGGCCGGGATACTTTGCTGGGCGTCAGGACCGTGAACGGCGCTGAAATTGCAGCGATCGGTTGTGATGTGGACAAGCTACCCCAACACGGAGTCCGATCGGAGACGACGCCGGCAGTCACCCGAGAGAGAAGGAAACGGTACCAACGTTAACAAAAAAGGAGGAAGAGAGCCGGGATCCATCCATCCATCCATCCATCC